TCGAGGCAGCAGGGATTTTGCCAGCCTTGGTCTGTGGGCTCTGCAATGGGGACCCGAAGTTTTAGGCCCCTTCTGGGACCTTCGTGGCACTCAGAGGCCTGGGGCAGCTGAGCTGTTTTCAGGGATATTAGGACATTACATGTGAACGAGGCACGTAAAAAACAGTCCATATACCTGTGCCTGGGGCTGTGGAGTCCATTACAATGGCTGGGAGCAATGGGGCACCTGGCAGCTGTGCTGAGGCTGTTTCAATGGCCTGTGATGTCCTTGGAATAAGATCTTCAACGAGTTTGGATTTAGGTGCCTTCAAGAGGTGTTGTTTGAAGGCAGCAGTGCTGTGGCATCACTTATTTTGGGAGCACCATGTGGCAGCTGGTGTTTGTGATGACGGCTGGGATTTGGGATGATGACCGGGCAGCGCCGGTGCAGCTCCCGGAGCTCTCAGCGGGGCTGGCCGCCATGCCGAGGCGCGGCTGAGGGGCCGCCACGGCTGGTGACGTCANGGCCGGGCCCAGCGCGGCTCTGCACCGCGGCCGCCCCAAACGCCTCGAGCGGAGCTGTGCGGGGTAAAACGGGATCGCTGGGGCTGATCCCGGATCCTCAGAGCAGTTCCAGTTCCCTGCTGATCCCAGCACAACCAAGGCGCGGATGCTCGCTGCCCAAATAACCATGAGAAGCAAAAAACTCGATCCTTTAGAAAAGGCTTAATGAAAATCCCCTGGGTAGTGGAGTGTCGCTGGGAGCACAAAAGTGAACTCCAGGGGTTCTGACGGGAACTTAATTTTCTGCTTGAAGTTGCTGCTGCTGCAACTCCAGGAACGACAGCCGCCCCGATGTTTGACAGAGTGGGAGGTGCTGCTCAGGAGAGACCAAGTGTCACCCGTCTCCCTAGGAGAAATCCAGGGCATTGTCAGGTCAGCCGTGCAGCAGCTGCTGGGGCTTGGCTCTGTTGTGCCTGCAGGGCTGTGGGGCTGCCGTGGAAAAAGAAGGGTTGTTGTGTGTCCTGGCAGAATAGGGCCCTGTGGGTGAGTGGCCAAGTCCTTGCTGCCGTGAGCCCCCACTGCCCTGAGCAGGCTGGAGCAGGTAGTCTGGCTGGTAGTGGTCACCTGCTGCAAGCACAGGGACACTGGATGCTGTTCTAAAGTGTGTAAAGGATTGTTCCCACCACTGAGGGAATGACTGGTCCCAAAACCCTTGTAATCTTTCTGGTGGTGAATATTTTCTTGCTTTTCTGGAACAGCAGAGAGTATGAATCTCTCCTGCTATTCTGTGTGTTGGAAAGGCCCCTTGCCCCTTCTCTGCCCCACTGGGGATCCTTTCTTGCTCCCCTCTACTGGGATGTGAGCCTGCTTGCTCACCACATACTTCCTGGTGGTTTTTAATCTTGTAATGTCTTTTCTTTACTCCTTTGTTAACCTTGTTTATACTGTTTCCTTCAAATTTGTCTCAAAACCCACCTGCTGGCTCCAGCTGTTTGCTGATGTTGTGGTTGGTGGCCCTGCGGTAGGCTGGGTGTGTAATCTGGCAGGTCCACACAAGTGCAGAGCTGTGCTTTCTGCTGGAGGCTAGAGCACTTTGGTGTTGGCTCCTTGGGTGAGAACTCATCGGAGCTCATGCTGTGCGAGGGGTAAAGGGATCTTATGCTGTTTTATTGAGACATCAGCATGCAAAGGGGAAGTGGGAAAGGAGGAGGTGCCTGGGCACGGGTACTGGAAGAGAATAAAGAGCTGGTGTGACGCAGCGGGACACGGCAGAAGTGCTGCACTTTGGACTAGGTAAGACGTGCTGGAGTCATTAAGGTATTTTTGATTTATCTTTTTATGGAAGAGGGGTTTATCTGCAGCTGTTTGAAGTGTGCAGATAGAAATGCTGTGATGTCATGGAAGGTGGATGAAGGCTTTGTTAATTGCTGAAATACCAGGTAATTGCCTGACTGAAATGATAAGCTGGTGTCTAGTTTTATTTAGGACTTGCCAGGAGGCTGGTTGCTTCTAGCAGGGAAAGAGCATCAGGTGTCCAGGACACATTGGACATGCACAGCCAGTCTGGGGAGTCAGAGACTGTGTGTAAGTGCTGAACATGGGTCGCAGGATGAGGTAGCCAGGATTCCCTCAGCATGGGATACGAGGTATTGTGAGCACAGGGCTGTGGAGAGCTCTCAGTTGGTGTAGAGAGCAGATGGTGCCGGTTCACAGGCTTGTCAGTTTTCTTTGTAGAAGATATTGTTAACTTTGTATAAGTTTCCTCCTGTGAGATCTGACATCTTGTTTCTATTAAGCTGAAACTGTTGAGAATTGGATGAGAAATTGCTCAGACTTTCTGCTTTTTGTAAACATCTCTACTTTGCACAAGGAACAAGTCTTTTGTTGTCCTGCAGTAACTTTGATCATTTCTCTGTGAAAGGCTACTAATCAAAGCATGTCTTTAGTTCCCTAGGTCCCTGGATGTTCAGAAGGGAGAGCTTGGGCAGGTGGTGCCTGGAGGCAGCACAGTGGGTTTCCCCGGTGTTCCCATGTTGCTGGCACTGGATGTTTCGTGTGACATGCAGTGTGCTGCATGGTGAACACATATAATGAGTGGGACTGTCTGGGTAACCTTTCAGGCACAGGAAAGGGATTTTCTGGTCCTTGTGACCTGTGGCATGAAGGAGGGTGTGGACAAAGCAGGGAGGGGAGTGGATGAAGAAGTGCCAGTTGTCACCATTTCCAAGCAGCCAGCAGTAATGCTGCTTAGGCTGTTGGAGGAATTCTGCCTGCAGAGCCCTGGAAAACTACAATCCTGTGTTAACAGGATTTGTCTTGCTTAGGGGGGTCTGACCTTGTAGACTTCAGGTGAAAAATGCCTTGTGGCTGTTTTCTGTCTGAAGGAGGAAAAAGAGCAGGGAAGGTGGGGCATGCAGGTAATTGATCCAGGATCCAGCATGCAGGATCTAACCTTTTCCCGGTTCTCCTCCCCATCCCACCAGAGCAGTGAGTGGCTGTGTGGGACTGAGTTCCTATCTGGGGTTAATCCACAGCAATCCTTGGTGCCCCGTGTGAAGCACAAAGGGTTGTGATTATGACAGATCTGAACAGAGCATATTAAAATATGAATAGTGTGGCCATCAGAACTAGGGAAGTGATTCTTCCCCTGTGCTGGTTGGGCCACTGGTTGTGCCACACCTTGAGTGTTGTGTCCAGTTCTGGGCCTCCTGATTTAGGAAGGATGTTGAGATGCTGGAATGTGTCCAGAGAATGGCAATGAGGATGGTGAAAGGTCTGGAACTCAAGCCTTATGAGGAGTGGCTGAGGGAGCTGGGTTTGTTTAGCCTGGAGAAGAGGAGGCTCAGGGAGATCTTACCATTCTCTATAGCTACCTGAAAGGAGGGTGCAGCCAGGTGGGGTTGGTCTCTTCTCACAGGCAACAAATGACAGGACCAGAAGACACAAGCTGCACCAGGGTGAGTTTAGGCTAGACATTAAGAAAAAATCTGTAACAGAAGGACTGATTGAGCATTGGGATGGGCAGCCCAGGAAGGAGGTGGTGGAATCATCATCCATGGAGGTGTTTAAAAAAAGACTGGATGTGTCACTTAATGTCATGGTTTAGTTGATAAGGTGATGTTAAGTCATAGGTTGGACTTGATGATCTCAAAGGTCTTTTCCAACCTGGCTAATTCTGTGATTCTGTGTGAAAAATAAGTTGTTAGAAGCATTCATTGTATTAGTTTAATGGTTGCTGGTCACACTGTTGATTTCTTTGCTCTCGGATTTGTATCATGGAACACATGCTGGTCTGGGCATCACCAAGAGTACTTTTCATCTTAGAATTGTGGAGTGGTTTGGGTTGGAGCAGGCCTTAAAGATCATCTCATTCAGATCCCTGCCACAAAAGGCAGGGACACCTTCCACTATCCCAGGCTGCCCCAAGCCCTGTCCAACCTGGCCTTGAACACTTCCAGGTTTGGGGTCACCACAGCTGCTCTGGCCAACCTGTGCCAGGACCTCAGCACCCTAAAAGGGAACAATTTTTTCTTAATACCTAATCTGACCCTGTCCTTTGTCAGTTTAAAACCATTGCCCCTTGCCCTTACAGTATCTGCTCTGTACCTTAAGGGGACCTATAAAAAGTCCCTCTCCCTCCTTTTTATAGGTCCCCTTAAGGTACAGGAAAGCTGAAATGAGATCTCCCCACAGATTTTCCTTCTCTCGGCTGAGCAGCCCCAGCACTCTCAGCCTGTCTGCACAGGAGAGGTGCTCCAGCACTGCCTTGTGGCAGTCTGAGCAGCAGCTGCAGCTCAAGAGCTCCCTGTTAGGACAAGCAATACCAAGTGATTGAGAGAAACTCTTCTTACCAGCAGCTCAAACATCACATACCTTTAATATTTTAGGGATTGTGAATTATTAAATGATCCAGATGAGAATAGGTAGTGCATCAAGCAGTACTTTTTCCTAATAGTTGACACTACAGTCTTGTTTTCTGTTAAATTTTATGTTGAAAGGCTGATATCAAACTGATCTTGGTGGTTAACTGTTGGAGAAAAAGTATTTTCTCATGATAGTGTTTGCTGGCATAATAAGGCTGAAACCATTTAGCTCAAGGGCAAGGCTTACTGACAGAGTTAGTAAAAGTAGGTGTTATAGAGCACATTATCTCTCTCTCCAGACTTGTCCCCTCTGTGCTCTTAGATTGCTGTGGCAGAGTTTCTGCACTGGAAGTTTAGCTGTGTGTTGTGAAAGGTACCTTTAATAATTTATTAAAAATGACAGAAAAATATCTTTGCAAAATAGAAGAATCAGTCTCAACAAAATTAGAGTATGTTTTAAATTACAGTGATTTTGCTGTAATTTTTGCTGGAATTAATGTAATTCCAATTGCTGTTGGAATTTAAATTGATTTATGTAAAATTCAAGTTAATTTGACAAAATTAAACTTTTAATACACAGTTGACTAACTGCAAGAAATTTTTATAAAAATGATTTGTTGTGACTGATGTTTTAGTTTAAGGAAGTTTTGTATCCTTTAGAAATGTCATTTAGTCACATGCTGCATGTTGTCTTTCCCATAAGTTTAAAGGATGCCAGGTATGGCTTACACAATTTTTTTCATCAGTTTCATGGTGGTTTTATTTCTCAGTTTTCAGAGAAGCACTTACACTGCTCTACAGATATGTTCTGATTTTAGAAGGATAAATGCTTTCAATATTTTTCTGAAAAAGTTGCAGTTGCTGTCTTCTTCTGTCAAGGAATATCAAAGTAATGTGAACTCACATAAGTCATTCCATACGTACTGCAAATTGAAAAGGGAAGTGCATTGCAGATTTGGCTCTCAGTGTCTCTTTTTCTTTCCTAGCTGCCCAGCTGAGCGACTGGAAGTGCTGGCGTGCCTGACGCAGCTGCGGCCGCAGCACGTGGAGGTGATGAAGGTAACCCATGCTATGGGGACACCATGGCCAGCTCCTGCCCCAAACGCTGCACACCCTCTCTGCTTCTCCCCTCTCGGCTAGGTGCTGCCAGCTGGTGTGTTTCATTTGCACAGCAGCAAACTCTGGACTCTTGGTAGTGGGGGCCTGTGAGAAACCACATTAACCGGAAGAAATACTAGAATGATAATGTGGAAGCTTTCAGTGGCCACCTGCAGGTTGTGAAGGATTAAATGAGCGGAAGAGCTGTTTGATGTGTGTTAGAGAAGCTCCCCTTCAACATCCCTCTGTCTAGAGCCTCCCCTTGGTTTATTTTATTAGTTTTTCCCCAGGCCTGGGTTAACAGACTGCTCCTTGCTTTCACTGTTTCTGGTGTCCAGCTGTTTCTCCTAGTAGTGTGTGTTAGTTTAACTGGGGAAGTATTTCTTTCATATTTTAATAATTTTGGGGGTTTGCATTTTTTTTAAGAAAAAAGTAATAATCATAATTTCTGCTTGGCAAAATTGCATTTGATTTTAAAAGCATGAACAGTATCAGGCCAAACATTTTTATTGCATATCTCAGACATGCATTGCAGTATCCTGCTTTAATTGGAATAGCAGATTAATAAAGACAGCAGTTTTCACACATGTTCAGTTTTGGAATTGCACAGGTGGAGAACTAACATTTTTAGGTATTTTGACTTTATTTCCCTTGCTATGTGAAATAGGCAGTTTTATCTTTTTGGTGTCAAGCTTTAGTAGTTCTCCAAGATGAATTTGGCTGTGCAGAGAGGTTGCAGATGCCCCGTGCCTGGAAGTGTGCAAGGTCAGATTGGACAGGGCTTGGAGCAACCTGCTCTAGAGGAAGGTGTCCCTGCCCATGGCAGTATGTTGGAACAAGATGATCTTTAAAGTCTCTTCCAACCCCAACCATCTTATGATTCTGAGACAGATCTTGATATAGGGTTGGCAGGATATGTCTGTTTTACAGAAGATGAACAGTCTCTCCCACCAAATACCTGACCATTTTAGATGTCCTTTACCTTGGTGATTGTTTCTTTTCAAAATTAGATTTTAAATGTTAATTTTTTTTTTTTGGTTAATTTTTTTTTTCTTCTGTAGGTTTTTAACGATCCTATTCATGGGCACATTGAATTTCATCCCCTGCTTATTCAGATCATCGACACCCCTCAGTTCCAGCGCCTCCGGTACATCAAGCAGTTGGGTGGCACGTACTTTGTTTTTCCAGGAGCCTCTCACAACCGCTTTGAACACTCCCTGGGGTAAGGTGGTGGTTCTGGTACACCCATCTCTGGTATCTGGGTATCCCTGAGTTTGGTTCCACTGCAGTAGAGTGCCAGCAAAAGGGCATTGATGACTGAGTATTGGTGAAAACTTATGGGGGGGCATTTCTGGTCTCAAATGTTCCTGGATATCACATATGATTGTGGGCTGTTCCCTTGAACTTCTTTTAATAAAGACAGATACCTACAAGATGGATCAATGCTAGCTTTCCTTCCCCACCCTTTATTATTCTAAGAATAATGTTAGCTAAAAACTAAGTACTTTATGTTCCCTCAGTCAAAATACAAGTTTTAAAGCATAAACTTAGTAAGTGTACTGGGGCTACTCTTGTTATCTGCCAGACAGTTGTAATCCTCACACATCAATCCAGCACAGCCGAAGTCCTTCTGATCTGTAATGTTTGCCTTTGTAGGTAGATGTGCTTCATGCAGTCAATGGCAGGTTGTCAGGCTGATAGCTATAATTCTGTGAAGCAGAAATGTGATGGCTGCAAGGATTTATAGAGCATTGCCAGGTCATTCATGCTCCTCAGGGAAGTAGATGAATGACAAATTTGAGCTCGTTTTAAGGGTAAATCTCAAGGGGCAGTGAAATTAAGAAAGTAAATGGTTTCTTATTCAGGTGATCTGGCCAGCCTAAAGTTGCTTTTGTTGGTGCTGAAATATTGTGGATTAAATCTGGTTTACTTATAATGAGATTCAAATGGCTGTTTGCAAAAGGCTCAGTTGAATGAGGCAGCCTGGATTGATTGCATCTGGTAAACCAGATTGCAAATGGTAAATCCATTGATCTATGGAGTTAAATTTAGGACAGGTGTTCTCCACTTGTATATAATTTCAAAGATTTCTACAGTGTTACAAATAGCAGAAGTGAGCTTTGTGTGGTCATTGATCTAGGAAAAAGCCACCAAACACTGAAATTTGGACTAAGGAAACATATTACCTCATTACAGCCTGGTCTTGCTTTAAGCTGTTCTGAAAGGGGGACTGTTGAGGCAAGTGGAAAAAGATGTTTGTGCAGAGGTTATAAACAGTTTATGGGAGTATATGCCATATATTTCCTCCTGTTGGTTTTGTGTCACAAGAGCAGAGGGTCCCATTTAACTAAATCAAATCTAAAATGAATGAGAAGAGAAATAATTGTCATGAGCTATAATTAAAGCAGCAGTTTGAAAAAAGTACCAAATGCTTTGGTTACTGGAATTCAAGGATTTGGTGTAAGCTGAGGTGCTTCAAGATTGTCACTGTTGGTGGTGCACTGTTGTTCCCTTAAACAGCTACTGTGGAGTTGTGTGTTACTAAATACTGCAGGATGCTTTAGAATCTCTGTGTTTTGGGCATGGCATCCCATTTGGGCATGGCATCCCATGCTTTTTTGCTTTTGGAGGACTAAAACTCTACTTACAGGAAGCAGTTTGTGATTCTGTCACAAGTCAGGGTTTGGGTGTTCCTTGTATGTGGCCTCTCAGACAAGGGCTGTGACTTAGTGGAGCAAAACAGGATAGGGGAACTTTTCTGTTCATCCTAAACCACTGCTGTATTTCTTTCTTTTTCTCCTGCAACAGGGTTGGCTACCTTGCAGGATGTCTGGTTCGTACACTGAAGGAGAGACAACCAGACCTGGGTATAACCCAGCGTGACATCCTCTGTGTAGAAATTGCTGGGCTTTGTCACGATTTGGGTAAGGAACACCTGAGATGGGTTGTTGCTCTTGGAAAGCTAACCAGGACGAAAAGCTGGCTGTGAGGTCAGAACATGTCAGCTGTTTTGGGCTGCTCAGTGCATAGCCATATTCCAATACAGGTTTTATCTGTTCTTTTTGATCTGGAGTACATCTGTGGAGACAGTTCTACTTGAAAATGTAGCCTCTCTTAGCTAGTGTTTTGTCCTGTTTCCAAATGGTGCTTAGAGTTCTGCCTTCAGTGGCTAAAGTGTTTACTTCCTTCTGTGATTTCTCCAGGTCTCTTAAAATATTTCAGAATGAAAATTATTGTTTCTTTCAAAAATTGTAACATTTACTTCAAAACTACTTCTTTTCTTCAGAGCTGACACAGGGTAATTAATATTCTCAATGTTGCTGCAGTATTTACCTGTGGTGTAGGTGCTGGAAATAGCTGTTAAGTGCAGCAGTACTTAAAGTATCTTAGGAAAGTATATTTGTTATACTGAAATCTTCTGCATAGATGATGAATAAGAAATTATCTGGATGGTTGCACTCAGAGAGTTCTGGTTACAGGCTTGATGTCCAGGCGGAGCCCAGTGATGAGTGACCTGTGTGGGGACTGATTTACCAAATTAAGGATATGATCTAGCATCAATATCTGACAATGACGGACAAAGACTCTCTGTTTTAGTTAGGATATATTTAATCAGCACTGGACTGGTGCTGGGTCACCCCTGATATGTATGTGGCCCCAAGTACAGGTGATTACAGGCTTTTTATTTACAAAAGTATTGAATACAAATACATATTCATAACCCAATTACCACCCACTCTCCTCTTCTCATGCTAATGAGGAAAAAGGCAATTAAGCATGTGTGGTTTGTTCTTTGAAGTAGGTCGATGGTCTTTTTATAGTAGGGGTCCTGAAAGGGAGGAAGGAATACATCTCTTCCTCATTTTAACCTTCCCACCTTTCAGGGCAAGATGACAAATGAGCCAGGTGGGCCTTTGGCTGGGCTCCTAGTTTCTTGTTTTAATGAGTTTTTTCATTTACTGTTGTTTTAGGTTTTTGAAGTTCTTTACTGGGTTCCCTGTTTTTCTTCCCAAGCCCAGCTGAGTCAGCATCTACATCTAGGATAGTTAGCAATTACCTTGTAACTTTGATAAGGCCTCTCCATTTGCCCTTGGTTTTAGCATGGCCCATCTGTTTGTTTTAATTAGTCTCAGCAGAGCTTACTCTATTCCAATTAGTTCCAATAATGTCAATTCCCAGTTAAAATCCTGACTTTTCCAAAATCCAAAACTATTTTTAAAACCCCAACTTTTCCAAAATCCAAAACTTTTTAAGGTTTGTGTTTCAGGACCAGCACTGTTGGGTATCTCTGTCGGTGATGGGGACAGTGGGATTGATGCACCCTTGGGCAGTTTGCCAGCAACATCAAGCTGTGTGGTTGGGACATGCTGGAGGGAAGGGATAGCACATCCAGAGGAACCTGGACAGCCTGGAGGGGTCAAGAGTGGATTTAGAGCAGCTCTCTGAAGAAGAACTTGGGGGCATTGGTGGGTGAGAGGCTGGAAAGGACCAGAGGCAGTCTAGAACCCCCCATGTGCTGGGCTGATATCCAGCATGGGCAGAGGTGAGGGGGGAGATTCTGCTCCTCTCCCTTGCTCAGGTGACACCCCCACCTGCAGAGCTGACACCAGGCCTGGGCCCCAACATAAGGATGAGGTGCTGCTGGAGTGAGGCTTCGGAGATGCACCAAGGGCTGGAGCCCCTCTGGAGCCAGGCTCTGGAGTCAGGCTGGGAGGGCTGGGGGTGTTCAGCCTGGAGGAGAGAAGGCTCCAGAGAGGCCTTAGACCACATAAAAGGGATTCCAGGAGAGCTCAGAGGGACTTTGGAGTGACAAGGGTTTGGACAAGGAGGAATGGCTTCCCACTGGCAGAAGGCAGGGTTGGGTGGGATACTGGGAAGAAATTCTTCCCTCTGCGGGTGGTAAAGCAGATTGCCCAGAGAAGCTGTGGCCACCCCATCCCTGGAAGTGCTCAAGGCCAGGTTGGACAGGGCTTGGAGCAGCCTGGGGTAGTGGAAGATGTCTCTGCCCATGGCAGGGGTCTGAATGAGATGATCTTTAGTCTCTTCCAACCCAAACCGGTCTAAGACTGTGATATGTCAAGAAAAGTCAGATACAGGAGAATTCAGATCCTAAGTTTGCTCAAGAAATTTTTGCTGACAACCATGTCTCAGACTAAACCCGTGTAATCTTTATATTTAAGGTCATGGGCCATTTTCACACATGTTTGATGGAAGATTTATTCCACTCACTCGTCCAGATTTGCAGTGGAAGGTAGGCTTTTCACTATTAAAATAAAAATACAAACCTGAAATTTCTGGAGGCAAAATAATTAATCTTTAAAGAGTTAAGAGTTCCAGTGCTTGTGAGGCTGTAGTGGTTATCTGGCTTTACCTTATTGCATCATTTTGATGGCTTAATTGAAAACCAGAATGTTATTTCCTAATCTTGTGATGCTATCCTTGTTAGGACTGTAGTGATTATTTTTGGCCAACATTGTGCCTTAAAATGTGTACTGAGAGCTTTCTGCAGAATATATTTTACATTTGCAAAATAGCAACTGGCAGCTTCCTTTCCAGTATAATGTTTTAGCCTAGGGACAGGATATTCAATAGTCTTTAGAATTAAAACTTCCCAAAATTTTGAACACAGTTTCAACAGTTGTTTTCTGTGGATGAAATGCAACACAGTCCTTTCAGGCCTCTCTCTGCTTGTAATTTCTTAGCAAAATCAGCTGAGTCAACTGGTTAATCATTTACACTTACAGGTTTACATTTACTGGTTAATCATTTAATCAAGCAAAATTGTCTCTTAGCATTGTAATGGCTTTGCTGCTGTTTGTCAATACACAGAAGTAACAGCTGTTTGCTGAAGAGTGTTTCTGGAGTCTGTAGACCAGGTGATTTCCTGTTCTGTTTAATGCAAAATGACTAGGAAAGCACCCAGGTGCTGCCCTTCACACCAGCCTGCCCATGTGCCCTGCTCAGCAGTGCTGATGACTTGGAGTAAAGCTGTGACACTGCAGGAAAGATGCTCAAACTATGTAATACAATATTTGGATGGGATTTTTTTTCACAGCATGAAACTGCGTCTGTTCAAATGTTTGAGCACTTGATCACTTCCAATAAACTAGAAGAAGTCATGGAATCTCATGGTCTTGTTCTGGAGGAAGATATGTTGTTCATCAAGGAACAGATAGGAGGGCCTATAGATGAAACTGCCTGTGTGAAATCGGTGAGTTGGTGTGCTGCTCCTGTGGTTATCCCAAGAAACGTCTTTATTTCTCTCAAAGAACAGATAATTCTGCTATATGTTACTTCTAGCCCCATGAAATTCTGGGGATCTTGTCACAGCTGATGCTGGAGGAGTGTTGTGTTCATTTCTTACAGTGCTGGCAGATACGTTAATGTGTTTACAGCTCCCTGAGAATTCTTATCCAAAAACCTCCAGATCAGAGGAAAGCTGTAGAAAGTTACTTGTATTTAGGGAACCTAACTGGTGACTGGGATCCAGTCAAGGGTACCAGGTATTTTCCATCATTTACTTGCAGTCCTGAGTGGTCCCAGTTGACTGGAAATCAGCAAATGTGACTCCATGTACAAGAAGGATGACCCAGGGAACTAGGGGGCTATCAGCCTGACCTTGGTGCTGAGGAAGGTCATGGAGCAGATAATCCTGAGTGTCATCATGCAGCTTGTACAGGACAACCAGGGAATCGGGCCCAGCCAGCCTGCGTTTAGGAAATCCAAGTCATGCTCAACTGAAGGACAGGAAGGCTCTACAGAAGGATCTGGACAGGTTGGATTAATGTGCCCAGGCCAATTGTGTGAGGTTCCACAATGCCAGGTGTTGGGTCCTGTTACAGGCTGGGGGCAGGGCACCTGGAAAGTGGCTAGGCAGAAAAGAGGTGCTGTTTTGGCTGACAGTGGCTGAAAAAGAGCCAGATGTGCCCAGGTGGGCAAGAGGCCAATGGCACATGGCCTGTGCCAGCCATAGCACAGCAAGCAGGACCAGGACAGTGACTGTACCCCTGTGCTGGGCACTGCTGAGGCCGCAACTGAAATGCTGAGTTCAGTTTTGGGCTCCTCATTGGAGAAAGACACTGAGGTGCAGTGGAGAAGGGCAGTAGAGCTAGGGAAGGGTCTGGAGCACAAGTATGGTGAGGAGCAGCTGAGGGAGTGAGGGGGGTTTGTCCTGGAGTAAAGGAGGCCTTCCCCAGACTGGATAACAAAATTGTGCACGGGCAGCAATGAGGCAGTGAGCAATTCAAGCCTGGCCCAAGTGCCAGAGCCACAAGAGCTTTGATGACAGCAGCAAAATGCTTGGATTTATTGCAATAGCAAACATAGAGGTAGGGATAAGACTTGAAGAAATGGGTTGCCTCAAGAGACAAAAAAGAAGAGTTAATTATTGCAATTCTATGAAAGACTTAAGTCCTTTCTCCTTGTTTTACGCTTTTGTGTCCTTTCAAGGACACTGATTCAGTTGCCACCAGAGTAAAGAACTGGTAGCAGCTGAAATCAGTGGGAGATCTGTCAGGACAATATGGTCTTAATCAGAATTCATATGTAGTCCCAAACAAGTAACCCACAAATGTTCACACTTGCCCATTATTTTCTACTGCAGGAGTGGGTAGCAATCCTATGGCAAATACAAGGAACTTGACATAGTGAAATTGAGTCTGAGATCCTGTAGGAAGCGGATGTTCATTTACAAAATCCACAAGCTGATTTTTATCCTGCTGGGCTTGGTTGCACATGAATCTTGGTGCCTGCTACTAGCATTGCTCTTGTGCCAGGTTCTTTCCCTGTGTCTGATTTGCCTTGTTTGGATTCTGTGCCTGTTTTCCAGCAGGATACCAGGAAGAGGAGTGCCACACACTACCTGGCAGCACCCTCCTGGTGTTAGGCAGCAGATTGCACTGACAGGCTGTGCACTGGTTCAGGCCTCTGTCATGACATGGACAGTATGTGTTCAGGCACCAGACATAAACAGTGTCCTCAACATGTCCCAATAGCAGAGCTCTTTGTGATCATGGTATCTTTATCCATGATGTGCTTTCTTCCTTCTGCTTGCATGTGTTTCCATTGCTATTCACATCAGTTTTAGTATTTCTGTAGTGCAGGTAACATGGAAGCCATGTTTGCATACAATGTTTTCCACTTTCAGAATTTCAAGGCCACTTTATGGCATTTTTTTAGGTGAAGCATCTTTAAATTTTCAAGAAAATGTGCACCTTTTACCTTACTTATTTTGGTGTTCATTTGCTGTTTACCTTATGGCTGAATTGTCCCTTGTGAGGTAGGAGTTTAAGTATCTATCATTTTTTTTGCTTAAAACATCTAAATAAGTGTTTTTAAACTCTATTCTAGAAAGTTTTAGGTTGCAGAAGACTGGGGGACAGTGACATGTTTGTGTATTTAATTCCCAAAAATCAAATAATTCCAAAATTTCCCCTCTTTGTTGATATGCTCTTTTTGTTTGTTTTTGGTTTTTTTCATTTCAAAGCCACAGGCTTTCTTTAAGTAAGTAATGGGCAATGAGTACTTGTGTTTTCATGGGTTTTATTCTTTCTGAGATTCTGGGAAGACAGCTGCTCAGGCCCTGTTCTGGATTTCTAATGCCTGATAGCTTCTGGGAGTTCTTTCTTTGCTTTTGTGTTCTTTACTACCTCAATGTTGGATGTCTATCATGAGCAAAGGGTATTCCCACTGTCCTAAAAAAGCTGTTTGACATTGTTGGTACACTTTAATTTCTTGCTGTTTCTCATGTTTTTCTTCCTGTCTCCCCTGTCAGTGGCCCTACCGTGGTCGTCCAAAGGAGAAAAGTTTCCTCTATGAGATTGTAGCTAATAAAAAAAATGGCATTGACGTTGACAAGTGGGATTATTTTGCAAGGTAGAAATTTTAGATTTTATTATGAATTCCTATTGACAAAATGCTGCTGTATGTACGAAAATGATCATATTGTTAAACATTCTTTGGAATATTTCTAGGGATTGCCACCACCTGGGAATCCCAAATAATTTTGACTATAAGCGATTGCTTATCTTCACTCGGGTCTGTGAAGTGAAAAACCAGAAGCACATCTGTACTCGTGATAAGGTGAGCAGAGTGTGGAGCCCAGGATGGCACACAGGGGAGCTGCACCCCATGGCTGGGGGTCCTGGGGTCCTGCCCAATTTCCCATAGCCCAAGAGGGAGAAAAGTAGTTGCTCTGAAGCTGCTGTTTGGGGGAGGGACATAGCAAACCACTGTTTGAAATGATTTGTGGCAGGTCCTGTCAGGGGAGACTCTACAGACTCCTCAGATCTGCATGATCCTGCTCCAGGTTTGCTGGGCAGGAAGTGAATGTGGCTGTGGTGAGGGGCTGCTGAAGGGATGAGGGGTCCTCTTGGCTGCCAGGCTGCCTGGGGTCACTCTCAGCACTCTGCAGTGCCACTCTACAGTGGCCTGAGCCAGTTTCAAAATTTGGAAATTGTGAATAATAATCATTCTGCTTTATGCTGTGAACGGGAGGAGGTAACTAATTTGATTAATTGATTGATTGATTGTCTTAATTTTCCTAGTGGCAAAAGTAAATGCTGATAGGGTTTTTTTGATTCAGGAAGTTGGAAATTTGTATGAGATGTTCCACACCCGGAACTGCCTGCACCGGAGAGCATACCAGCATAAGACTGGCAACATCATTGAAATAATGCAAGTATATTTTCCTTTCCTTCCTTTTCAATTGATTTTTAAATTCTTGAAACAATCCATTATCCTTTTGGTATATTCAGAAAATCCATAAGGTGTGACATAGAATAAAAGCCACTTCTGATTCTTGTGGAAAGACTTAGTGCTTAGAGTATATAGAGGCTGTGGTTAACAAAGCAAACAAAAAACAGGAGGAGAGGAGGACAAAAGCATCCTTCCACATAAAATTAAATTAGATGAAAATTATTAAAGGCCTGAAGAAGCACCGGACCAGGGTGTGCTTAAACCATTTAAACTGCTGACAGCTGAATCCAAATCCTTATCTGCAAGTTAGAGACCACTTAGCTCAAACTGGTTACTAGAGCAAGGTTACTAACAGAGTAAAGTCACGAATGGACTCATGTAGCTCAGCTAAGGCCTGGCTTTGTGTTTATGTAATGCAAGATTTTTTCAGCACCAATTCAGCTGGCTACCTGCTGTTTTACCTCTCTTGTTGATGTCTATAGAATTTTTAATTAACTTTATTCTTTTTGCTTTTCTTGAGAATCAGAAATACTTGTATCCCCAAATATTTTTTCCTTAGGGTCTGGTCTGTTGACTATGGTAAAAAGGAATGTTAAGGATTACACAGTACAAGAGTGATTTGGATTGCTTTAACTTCATAAACTTCCAAAACTAATTTAGGGATCTTCTAAAACTTCTAAAAATGCTCAGGTTTGACAGTACCTACATATATGATGAGTAAGGCATATTTTTTATTTTAGAAAAACTCAGTTCTTGGCTTCCTATAATTATAGCAGCCTTTTGAAAGAGTGTCCAAGCTGGAAATGACAGCAAAGTACATGGAAATCTGGAAGAACTTCATCTTTAGAACATAATTTTTTCCCCGCTGAAAATACTACCTGTTTGTGATGCTTTCCCTTTACAATGCTTTGTACTCTCTCAGCTAACTCGGGAAGCAAGGAGTCTGTAAAAGGGTGTGGTCATCTGTGAGGAAGCATTACTGCAGCTGAAGAACCAGTCACTGTTTTATGGGGTTCTGCAATTGTCTCAGTGGTGCTAAACACAGTCTGAAGTAGAACAAAGTGAATTTGCTCATTCATCAAAAGTTTACATTCTGTTCTGAACCCATCTTCAGTAAATCTCTGTTGGAAGGTGCAATGACAACATGGAGACAAGATGATGCAGTCATCAGTGTCTGCTCTGTGCTGGGGATACAGTTTCATCTGTTGTCTTCTGCTCATAACATACTAATTTGTTTCATTTTGCCTGCTGACCGGTGAGGTGTTTCAAAACTATGTTATCCTAAAGTCATAATTTTGTCTCAAACTAGGATAACAGAAGCTTTTCAAAAAGCCGACAAATTTTTTGAAATAAGAGGCTCTGGAGGAAAAGTGTATCGGATTTCTACAGCAATGGAGGACATGGAAGCCTACACTAAGCTAACTGGTATGAGGTCTCAGAATTATTTTTTTTAAGTAAAAGAGCATCAGTACCTGTTAAAATGCTCTTTTTACTGTTTTTGTGCACAGAAGGTGGGGCAAGGTCTAGTGCTTGTGCTCTCAAATCTTGCTGGGAGAGCAAGACCTTCTAGTTTAAATCACTTTTATGCTGAGAGAGAGAGAAAGAAGCACTAAACCTTATGTTTCACATATGTTCAGATTCAGCAGTGTTAGAAGGTCCTGCCTGTGCCCTGAATTTGTTGTACTTGTCACAAGTGGGGTGTAAGTGAGCTCTAAGTGATACTACAGGGTGGCTCAGTCAGATGAAGTACTGGATGTGTGTTGTGGTGTGAAGATATTCCCAAAGCAGGTTCCAAACAGCTCTCGTAAGGTCTCAGGGTTGCTGCCCTGCTTGCCTGCCTCTCCTGGTCTGTGGTGTGGGGCCCCAGTGCTCCCCTGGTTGTGTTCAGAGCTGCAGTGTGGGCCAGGCAACCCTACTGCTCCCAGGCTTTGTGGATGGCTCTGTGTGTGCAGGGCAGGGTGCTGCAGGTCCTGCTCAGGGCTGCTTCTGATTACTGGCAGCTCTTGCAGCACCTGTCAGCTACAGCTCACCAGGACTTCCAAGCCAAGTCTCCTGAGTTTCCATCACCAAGCCTTAGCTGGCCAACAGAGAGACTAAAGAACTTCTATCTTTGGTCCATGGATGAAGTGACAGGGCCTGAGGGCACTGTTGCAGAGAATCCTGTGTGCCTTAGCCTTTATCGTGCTTAAGGACTTCTGCTGGCAGTTCTTCATGTGCCACAGCCATCCAACAGTCTAAGCACACACCTGCTGCTGAGGTGAGGAGCTGCGTGTCCCTTCTGTCACTGTGTGCCTCTGCTTAGGGCAGGATGAGGGGGGCTGGCTTTGAGGGACAGTAGTTCTTGGGGAATGTGAATTGCATTGCTGAGCAGTGGAAGGCTGGGCAGAGAGGAAAGGCCTGAGGTGAAGCTGTTCCTGGGCTGGGCCTGTTCCTGGGTGTCGGCTGGCCTGCTGTAAATACCTGCTTACCTGTGGTCCCTGGTGGGGAGCACACCTCAGGGCAAAGACAGCAGAGCTGTGCCCAGCCTCTCACAGTCTGCCACAGCAAGGAGCTGCTAGCTAGCATCATCTGTTCAGCAAGGAGGGCTAAACAGCAGGGAGAGTGATGTGCGGAATGTAGCAGCATCAGATGTACAATGGAGCATGAAGGACGAGTATGTGTTCCTCTTAAAACTCTTTCCTGCATCTAGTGCTGTGGAGGGTACGACTTTCCCTTTTTTTTTCTTTTTGCTCAGGGAATTTTCTCCCATTTGTTTCTTAAGAGATGGGAATGAGCAATACTTAAGAGAGACAAAAGATGTAGCCAAGGAGGAGGGGGAAGTGCGCAGTTTGCTACCATCTCTGAGCTGTGGGGCTTTCTTTTGGGAAGAGCAGAGATACCAGGAGATTTTGGCTGGGAGGTGAAGGACTGGGCTCAGCTCCTGTCTCCCTCTCGCCCTTGGGATCAGAGGTGAGACAGGCAGGCTGCTGCTGTTGGGAGATTTTGCTGCCACTGTGGAGTTCTGTCCTGCACTGCTTTCTCCTTACCGTGGGTGAGCTTCTGCTCGCAAGAGCAGCTGCTGAACTGGGACCTTTCCAACATCCGACCTCACTGGGAAGGGGACCCCGGCCCCGGCCCCTGCGTGTGGAGCCCGCCTGCCTGTGCCCAGCCCCGCTGCTCCTGCAGCTGCTGCGGGCACCCTGCGCCTGCTGGGACACTCTGCGGCTCCTGGCACGGCTCAGGAGTCTTTGTCACCCCGGCTGTGCCCGCCTGTGCCGTTCCAGCCCGCTGCTCCGAGGTTCGTGCTGCAGTCCACTCAGCTTCCCGGCTGCTTGCCGTGAGTTTCCAAAGGAAGCCCCTTGTCCATCCCTTCCGCCAGCCCGCCCGCCATTCCCGTGTGGAGAGAGGCGGCCGAGCTGGCGCCACAGCGCCCCCTGCAGGCGCGGGGGAATCATCGCGCCCGCCCTGCCCGGCCGGGAGCCAGCAGCGCCCCTGCCGGCTGTGCCCGGAACTGCAGCAAAGGGGAAGGTGCCTGCAGCCGGGAGGAGGCTGGGACTGGCTCTCTGGGGCTGTTCCTTGCTGCTATCGGGGCTGTTGTTTGTTTGCCTTGTTACACACACACACACATGTAAAGAACTGCTATTCCTTTTCCTGTATCTGTGCCTGAAAGCCCTGTAATCTCAAAGTTACAATAATTTGGAGGGAAGGGGGTTGTATTTTCTATTCTAAGGGAAGTTCCTGTCCTCTTTGGCAGAGACCTGTCCTTTAAACCAGGACAAGTGTTTGCAACCTGGATGCTCTTGAGGCTTTTTTCAGCAGTCCCTAGTGCATGATTTTTCTGTGAAATTGTCCAGTTATGGACCTCTACAAATGATGAACCTCTGGGAGATTCTGAAGCAGAAGGTTCCCTAGCTTTCTTCCATGATGGATGAAGAACCACAGTTGTTTTTTAATGTGTTGCTTCCTGATTTGGCAGCAAATCCTAGTTCTAGTAAAGGCTGAGACAGCAAAGCATTCCTTGTTGTTGCTGCTTTTGCACAGGGAAGATTTAATGGGCTTCTTATTTCTCCTGCATTATCTCTTCTTTGTCTGAAGAAACCTGGTCTGTGGTTCCTGGAGAAGTTTCTGGCTTTGGTTGACCTTGTCCATTAAACCAATTGAAGGTGTTTTGGTGCACCAAAACAACTCAGAAGTTGTTCTGGAGCATATTGGGAGCTCCTCAGATGGTTACAGCTCCAGGTGGGCTCTTGCAGGGCTGTGCTTGCAGCATGTGTCAGAGCTGCCCAGGTTTTCCCAGCCAGGGAATGCAGCTGTGGGGTGCAGATCAGGCCAGCAGCATCCTGGCAACAGCAGTCTCTAGGACAGCCAAAAATAACCTTTCTGCTCTGAAGCCACATCAAAAGAGACCTCTGTCATGCCCCAACTGATAGTGGGAATCTCGCTGCATGTATCACTGTCATGTAGAGACAGGATGGGGGATTTTGAAGCTGGCATCCCAAGTCTGAGAAAACCTGAAGGTTTAATGGCCATTCTTTCTTTTTTACTAGACACAGTACCATGTCCTGAGCTAGTTAGTTGTGGAGTTCAGGATAGTCTGCTAAACAAGACTAAATGAGATAAGAATGTAACTTCTAGTGAAATAATGAAGTACATTACCAGGGTGAGAATTCAGATAGTTTTTTTGCCAACAGCCATTGTGAATCTAATGATAATTAAGATAATATTGTGACTTCTCATTGTCAAACTTAGTTCCCTCATTCCCTGAAAGTGTCTTTCCTGAACCAGCAGTTTTTTGCTTTAACCTTTGGCCCTGTTTGTGCATTTTATTGTGACACTGGAATGTGACATATGTAACAAAAATCAATACAACTTTGGCAGACTGTATCTACCTGGAAATTCTTAACTCAAGTCATCCAGAACTGGAAGAGGCACGAAAAATTTTGCGTAAAATAGAACGACGTGAATTATACAAGTTTTTAGGAGAGACTCGACCTGAATCCAAGACAGAAATTGTAAAGGTAATGTCCTTTAGCAGAAGGTTCTGAATTCTGTCCCCATAAAAATGTTCTTGAAGTTGCTGACCTTCCATTTATCCCTATCTCCATGTGGGCTTTGTTTACTTTGAGGGTTTGTTCGTTTTTTGTTATTTGCTAGTCAAAAAATAAAGTAAGAAGTTTTCCTCCCATCTTTAAGTAGCTGAGTCATAAAACATATAAGATTGGGGAGAGTTCTATCTACAGACAGATGAATGGCGAGAGGTAGAAATTCAGAAGCTGATTATTGCAGAAATATTTTCAGGAAAAACTTTTCTGAAAAATACAAAATTTTATAAAAGACCAGTGATTGAGAAGGTTATAACATCATTTGATGTTCATGAAAATTTCAAAATAGTAAGGAACACATTTGCTTTGAATCATAATTTAAGTGCTTTGCTTTGAGAATAAATATCAAACTGAATAATAGCTGCTGAATTTCTTGGTGTTAAATTCTAATACTGAGCATGAGCATGCATGTACTTTTCCCAGTCTTTTTCATGAGTCTTTTTCAAAGCATATAGCAGTTTAATTCCCGTTGTCTTATTTCAAAATAATGGTATATTAGAGCTCACTTCAGCTGGCCCAGCTCTTTCAATGTGCTATACTGTGTTGTCAAATCAACAGTTACTTATCTGCAAACTTCAGCCATAATGGTGAAAATTTTCTGTCCCTGGTTTCTAGAAGTGGATGTCTGTATATAGAAAGCCTTCATGAAAATAATTCAGCTCCTTTAAAGAATAAGGTTAGAAAATGACTACTAGATGTAGCTGTTCATCTTTTTGTTTGAAGAGTAGCTTTGCTTGTGTTCTTTGTCTAAGAAAATGTAGTGTTAAGAGATTCTGTATTACAAAAGCAAGAGGAAAGAGGTGAAAGCAGACATGCAGTGGTTGTACCTGGATTGTCAAGTTTCTGCCCTTCTGAAGAGAAGGTTGGGATAGGTGGCCCAACAAATAAGGAGATGGGAGTGAAAGCAAATGTTATGAGTTCCACCTTTAAATAGCTCCTTCTAGAAGCTTGGCTAATGAGAGGAAAAACTCTCATTTTGAAAGTCCAGCCAGAGGCATTAAATCTTGGGAAATCCAGGGTGTTGTTTTGAAGGGAGACTGGATCACTGTTGGTGCCATAATTACATCCAGCCAATGCTTTGCAGCTCAGGGTGTGCAGCTGAAGGGTTGAGGGAGGATGTTTCCTCCTGTGATGACAATGGCAGGAATGTCAGAGACTCAGCTTCCTCCCAGCACTGGAGTTGAGCAGTGGCTGCACAAGACAGAGCTGTGTCTGCTCTGCTCCTTCACACACCACAGGGTTATGTTTAGAATCACAGAATGGTTTGGGTTGGAAAGGACCTTTAAAGGCCAGCCAGTCCAACCTCCTGCCATGGACAGGGACAACTTCCACTACATCAGGCTGCTCCAGCCTTGTGCAATTCTGTGATCCTCAAGCTGGCCAGAGCCAGAGGAAAATCCCAAACAGCTTCAGAGTTCTTAAATTCAGGCTGAGTTTCCAGTTAAGGTAAACCAGAGAGGTAATTTCAAAACAATGCAAGCAAAGATAGGAAATAAGTTAACACATATACATTCTGATCAGAGTAGGAGTAGTTACAAATAGGCTGCTTGAGGTTGACAGTTCCCTTCTGGCAAGGTTTTCCTCCAAGCTTGCTCTCAGTTTAAATAAACCTTTCCTTGGTTTCTTGAGTCACTACAAACCACACACATGCCTCAGCTTGTCAATGTGTGTGATTTTCTGCTTGTCAGTCTCCACATCCCTGCAATGAATAAATCAGCAGCAAAAAACCCCAAAAAACAACCCAACTTCTCCTAGCTGAATTCCTTCCCTCCTGGACAGTCTCCTGACTGCTCTGGGCTCTACTGCCATGAGTCTCAGTTGCTCCCAGGAAATCTTGCAGCTTCAAATCTTGCCTTTTCCTCAGAACACAGCAGCCCTGAATAAAGGCCACAGCCTTTGAATGAGGACTCACATTTTAGTGTACAGCTGTTCTCTGTCTAACCATGCTCCTCTGCTTTGCCTAAGTGTCTGCAGGGAATCTTGCCTTGAGGTCAAAACCAAACAAAACTCCTTTGTGGGTTTCAGCTTTTTTGGAGTACTTTAGTGGAGCACTTTTTATGTTTGTTGTGGTTTTTTGTTTGTATGTTTTGGTGGGTTTTTTTGTTTTGTTTTGGTGATTTTTTTTTATTTTGTGGTTGTCTGTCTCTTGTGGTTTTTTTATATGTTTTACTGCATAGATAATATAGCTTTATTAGAGAGTAAGATCCTACAGCCCTCCATTAAAAAAATCAGTGAAAATGTCTAGTATTCAGCTTTGGAGAACTTTATTGCAGCACATTTGTATTGGTAAAGCAGTTGGTTGAAGGTTTTTTTTCTGCTTTCATGCTTCAGCATTCTGGATGGCGCAGTCCTGCTTTCCCTGCCCCATCACCAGGTGTAAAACTCCTTCACAGACTGGCAGATTTTGGGTCTTCTCAACTGCATAAACTTGGTTTGTTTCTGAAAACTGGGTTTTGTACTTATGGCTATGGTGTACAATAATTCAAACAACCAAATTGCTGCAAGAGTCTTGTTAAGCTGTGAAAAACTGAAAACTTTAGTTTAAAAATATATTGTGTCACATGTTGTGTTGCCTTGATCTAGACCTGAGAGTGCATAAAAGTAATCTGAGTTTAATCTTTTGGTTTGGTTTCTTTCAGAGTAATAGCCTGGCAGAAAGCATTGCTAATAGCAAGCCACAGAAGGACCCTCCAGATGTGGATCTAAAGGCTGAGAATTTCATAGTTGATGTAAACACCTCTCAGAGCGGGTTCAAGTAAAAACTCGGTTGCAGGGGGCTTGTGTACCCTGGTGAAAGAACAAACCCACAGGGTGTCTGCAGCTGCAGGCCTGGTTCAGTTTGAGGGTCTGAGCTTCGTGTGGGAGGTTTGTTGTGGTGGGAGGGTGTGGGGCAAGCAGTGGGCAACTCCACTGGGTTGTCATCTGTACACTGTCCTGGTGACAAACAGGCTCTCCTGTCCCTGTCCTGACTCCAACAAGGAGCAGTGGGGGAACCCATGGGGTTTGATACATGGGTGTCAGTGGCAGCAGCCTGGGGGCCACTGGATGAGTCAGGAAGGCAGGAAACCTGTAGGGCCAGTGGGAGGAAAAGAGGCACTGTGACCTCCAGGCTCCTGGTATGCCTACCTGATGCCTAGCAGGCGTTTCTGGGGTTTGTCTGCTGCACAAAGCACCTGCTGCCACAGCTCAGTCTGCAGCCAGCAGTGGTGGGAGGGAGGGAGCCTGAGACAGAGGAGGGAACTGGGACAGTCTGCAGTATCACACAGCTTAATCCTTGTTCTCAGTTCACTCTGAGAAGCATGGAATGTTTACTGGGCAAGACTGTAGCAGTTCATTGAGCTTTAAAGAATTTGCCTGGGCTTTTCCCATCCCACAAACTGAAATGACAGGGAAGTGGATCCCTGCTGACTCACAGAAATGTTGGTGTATCAGGCTGATTTAAATAACGTTGTCTAAACCTCGTGTTTATAACTGTAAGCTCTGCTGCAGCCTCTTGGGTTGTGTGTTTTGGGAAGGCCCAGGCTGGCAAGTGACCAGTCCACTTTCAGTGCTGGAAACTGGAATGTTTCAGAGCACAACTGTGAGCTGGTCACTGTAAATGTGAATATCCACCTGGCAGCAACAGAGCAAGAGGGGATGGAAGAAAAGATGCAAAATACAAATACCAGATGGGTTTTTTAAAGTAGTAATTTGTTAATTACTGTTTCATTTGATGACTGTAATTTTCAGAAGTAGAGTGTGTGTGGCCTTTTGTATTTATTGTCAGAAAACAAAATGTTAACAAATTAGACAAACATTAACAAATGCCATTTTCTTTGTTTTATGTGCAAGGTTATCAGCATGGATTATGGAATGAAGGAACAGAATCCAATTGATAAGGTTCACTTCTATTGCAAGGCCGATCCTTCCAAGGCAGTCAAAATCAGTAAAGAACAGGTAGGTTTTTACTTTCCTTCTGAAAAGCATTTTCACCACCTGTAATGGAAGTGATCACAGTCCTGTGTGGTTGTTCCTGCGGGATTTGTGGCAAGGTGGTGGGATCCATGGCCTTGCACATCTTCAGTGTGTGTTGTACTATGACAATCTGGAGCCCTGACAGCCTTTGCATGTGAACACTATTTAATTGGAATACACTGGGAGTTGGAATAACACAATTGCTTTGGATAAAACACATGGATTGTAGTGGGACTTCTTACTGCTTTCCTTTTGTATTCCAAGAAATACTAAAGGTTTTTTCTGTTTTATTTCAAAGGTTTCAAAGCTTTTACCCATAATATTTATGGAGCAGGTTGTCCGGGTTTATTACAAAAGTCAGGATCCACGTATTATTTCAGCTGCAAAACAGTACTTTGTTCAGTGGTGTATGGAGAATGATTTCACCAAACCACAGGTAACAAATTTACTTATTATATTTCTTGTTTAGAGCTCATAATTTTCATCTATAAGCTTGCTTTTTCATTAAAAGGTTTGACATTCAGGCTTTGCCTTTATGTCAGAGGCACTCACTCACCTAACCCCTGGTTTTATCATGGCTCCCATCTGGGGGTGCTTTTGTTTCACTGAAGTAGTGCTGAAGACACCTGAAAGTACCATAGGATCATAGAATCATGGAATGGTTTGGGTTGGAAGGGGCCCTTGAAGATCACCTTGTTCCAAACCCCTGCCATGGGCAGAGACACCTTCCATTCGACCAGGCTGGGGAAAGAGCTGCATCCTCAAACATTAGAGGCCACCCAGGAGATGAGTGTTCCTGGCACAGAAAACTCTGTAAGGTCCATTCTTAGGTCATCCTTCTGGCATCTGTCTTTTAGAGCAGTTAATTTTAGCAGGGCTTTTTACAAGTGGATCAAGCAACAGCTCTCCCTAGTTGTAGAGTGTGGTTGTGTCCTGTAAGCACATTGTTCAGGTTCAGGCACATCCACCCTGCAGCCCTGGCATGCTGCAGAGCACAGCAGTGTGCATCTCAGCAGCTGATTTCTGAGCTCAGGCAGCAGATTGTCTGTGTTGGCAATGCCTGAGCACAGATCAACATCTGTATCTGACTGGGATGAGCCCCACTGCTTGTTTCAGACAGTGCAAGGCACATCCCAGCACCAGGGGTAGGTCCATTGCAGCAGTGGTAGTGAGGCACTGTGCTGAAGTCAGAGGAAACACTCTAATGATTCTTTTTGTAGACCAGTGGCCAAGATACAGTGAGTTGACCTTCCAGATTTTCTGGTACTAATTTAGGAAGAACTGGATGGTGATGGTGATGCCTTCTCAGGCAGGGCACTTTTGTCTCCCCACCACTCACTGCAGCAGTTTTCACCTCTGTGATGCACAGTCATCAATTTTTATTGATTCACAAAGGTTCTGGGACCTTGGATTGATTTTTTTCCTGTTTAATCTGAGAGTAAGCTACTTCTCTGCTGCTTTAGACAGGAAAGCAAAAGTGAATTAATGTTTCCTGAATTTTAATACTAGGATGGTGATGTTGTCGCTCCTCATCTAACTCCAATGAAGGAAACCTGGAATAATGTGACAGATGATGAACACAGGAGAGCCTCAGAGCCCAGCTGCAAACAAAGGCTTTCTTTTGATGAGTAACAGGTTTCTTTTGGCACTATTCAGTCTGCTTCCTCAGAAGATGAATAAATTTGAGCATCAACTCTTCTAAAAACTGGACAGACTGGAAGAATTCACAGAACAATGCAAAATGCATTTTACAATACAGAATGTTTTAATGTAGGTACTTAAAGTGTATATTCCAGGTGGACTTCTGAAAAACAACTTATTACAACAGAGTAAACTAAGTTCTCATTTATTTTTGAATGTATTGGCACTGTGTAGCAAGAGTAACTTTAAAAATTGCAATTAATTGTTATTACAGGATTTTACTATTCCATCAAGTCCTGATCCCTTCCTCAGCTGTGCTATTGCATAACTTAGAAAAAAAATCCCATGATGGGGTGTTTTGGAGGCTTGGGGTTTTCTTAGTGTCTGAGGAAGAAAGAGATAAGTATGCTTCTGAAAATATAGTGGGGTAAAGAAGAAATTACCAAGTGTGGCATCTTCAAAATTAGCAAAATTAATTTCATGAAAAAAAAAGGAAGGGAGAGGGGAATCTTGATAATCAAAGATTATTTTTCTGGTATTCAAAAAGCTGGTGCAGCCCTCTTGCTACAAGTGACCTCAATTTTTATTGAAGTAACAATGCATTGCAGTGCCATGCAGCCTTTTATTGTTTCATTGTGGATTTTTGATACATAGAATATTACATTTTTTGCTGTCTGTCCTGCAAAGACTGCTCAAAAGCCCAGTGGTGTGAGTGGTTGCAGGAAGGCTGAGCTGCCCAGGTGTTAGGCAGGCTCATGTGTGCGGAGAGGGCAGTGCCAGCAGGGTTCTGCCCTGCTCTGCCCATCCTGCACCTAGTGCACCTTGGCTCTACTTTGCACTGTAATGGACAGACAGGCTCATCAGGAACCCCTCCATTCTCGTATCCCCATCCTGTTCTGGATCTCATGGCCATCCCTGTATCATTTTTCTGTCTCTTGCAGATGTGTGAGGGTTCTTTCAGTTTTCCTGTACTCTGGTGTGAGTGTTCTGAATGTCTGTGCTGTTGAACAGGTGACCGAGGAAGACCATTTTCCTCTCATCTTTTATTCTGGTCTAAGAGGAAGGCTGCTTTCATTAAATAAAACCTCAAAGCTTGAAAAAGTCTGACCACAAAACTAAAAATACAAAGTAAAAGGTTCAGTAATGCTCAGGAATTTGAGCCATCTGTGATCTTTATATCTGGAAGGGGGAGTGAGGTGTTGAGCATCTGGCTCAGGCAGTCAGATGTGGGTGGCCAGAGTAGGTAGTGAAAAATAACCCAGTGGGAAGGTGCTGTGAGAAAACTCCAGAACTCCTGCCATGTCTCCTTTGCCCTTTTTATCCTGGGAACTGATGCTGTTAGACAGAGGGAGGGAAAATGAGTAAAAAATCCATGTACTTCTGCTGCTTATGTATCTGTGCTCATGTGTCTGAAGGTGTAACCTCTTGGTGTTCCTGTCTAATGGTATTTCAAACCAGGTAACTGGTTAGAAGGGTTTGTGACCTCTTTAAAAGCTTTTTAAAAACTTACTATTCCTCGTGAAACAATATCTTAGAGGGAAGGCATTTATCTCCCTTGTCTGCCTTGAAAATCAAGTACTGTTTTGATACAGTTTTGTTCTTGTTGATTTGGTTTGTTTTTAATTTGTTACTAACTGCACTTTATACTCAGGAAAGATCTTTTTCTTATGTTAAACCAAAAGTTTATACTTAACGTTAGATTCTGAGAGCATTTCTTTTCTCAACATGTTCATCCTCTCTGAAGAGTAAATTTATAAACTGATTTTACTATTCTTTTAAAAAATTGTGGTGTGTGGACTTTATTAAAAACAGTCTTACTGCACCATTCCAAACAGCCAAGGTATTCCTACCCACTGTCTGTGGAAGAGCTTCCCTCTGGAAGAGGTTCTTGGTTCACATCTCCTCAGGGGCAGTGGGGTCAGGGCTGAGGGAGGATCCCAGCACTCCTCGTGCACTGTACAGCCACCTGGCCCTGCCACACCCTGGACATGGCCACTCCAGGAGCCAGGGAAGTTTCAGATGCTGCTTCAGCTATTGGGGAGGGGAAGGGAAGCTGAAGTCCTGCATGACCAACCAGGACACCTGTGCTGACTGTGCCGGGGGCTGAAGGCAGAGCAGTGCTGGGGTCAGCCTTAGTGAGCTGCCAGATGGGATTTGGGTGAGCAGGCAGGGCTGGACCAAAGCCTGGCTGGAGAACTGGGTTCGGTCTGGGTTATCAGTGGCACAAGTCTTGTCCCAGGGCTGGTGCTGGGTCCAGTTCCAGAGGCCCAGTACTGGTGGACAGGGTCCACCCTCAGCACATTTGCAGATGGGAGATGTGGCTGGTACTCCAGAGGGATATGCTACATCCAAAGGGATCTTAGCAGGCTGCAGAAGGGGTCTGACAGGAACCTCCTGAAGATCACCAAGAGGAAGTGCAATGTCCTGCATCTGGGAAGGGTCATTTCCTTCACCAGGATGTGTTGAGGCCACCCACCCATGAGGCAGTGTAGAGGAAGGGATCCAGGAGTTCACCAGGAGCCGACAAACGTGCAACTCCTCTTTCAGCCAAGTGTTCTAGTGGTGTCCTGGGCTGCCTTAGGCTGAGTGTTATCAGCAGGTACAGAATCCTTCCCCTCTGCTCCACACCAGTGAGGCAGCCTTGGAGTGCTGGGCCCAGAGCTGGGCTGCCCAGTACAGGGGACAGGGACAGACTGGACACAGCCCAGCACAGGGCCATGATGGGCCATGATGGAGGGGCTGGAGCATCTCTGCCATGAGGAGAGGCTGAGAGAGCTGGGACTGCCCAGCTTGGAGCACAGCACGCTCAGGGCATCTCATCCCTGGGGATAAATACCCAGGGTGGGGCTGCAGAGGGGATGGGGTCAGGGACAGCCCCAGGGGCCACGGGCACAAAGTGACACACAGGAGGGGCCCTGTGAGCTCAGGAGACACTTCTGCACTGGGAAGGTGGCTGAGCACTGGTGCAGGTGCCCAGGGAGGTGATGCAGCCTCCACCCTGGGAGAGACTCAAAAGCCACCTGGACACATCCTGGGCAGCTGTCTCTGGGTGGTCCTGATGGGGCAGGGGCTGTGCAAGGTGACCTCCAGAAGTACCTCCAACCTCACCCAGCTGGAGATCCTATCCCAGTGCTACTGGCAGAAGTGTGAAATGGGCCTGAAGTCAGAGGCTCTGTGTTGGTGAGGGGTGAGTCAGTGCTGGGAATAGGGAAGGGTCCTGATGGACACAAGGGTGAGGTCTCCAGGGGGGAATGGTGCTGTGCAGCCACTTTCAGCAGGGAGCACTGGATTGCACATGGTACCCTGAGCTGGGTGCTGGGTGCCCTGAAGGGCTGCAGGGGGCTCCAGGCAAGTGTCACTGGGGGTCTGGAACAGGGGAGGGGGTCAGTGGCACTCTGCAGGTGGAGGAGGAGATCGATATGAAAGGGTTGTGTTAAAAATAGGGCTGGTCAGTGTAAGGTCTGCCTGAGCCCTGCACTGTCCTGTTTGTTCTCTTAAATCCATGCTCACTTTTATCTCTGTGAATCTCACAGCCTGTGTGGATGTGAGCTGCAAGGAGTAAGTGCCAGCTGCTGGAGACATGGCACAGGTTGGCCATGGGAGATGGAACCAGCAATGAAATGACTGGTGAGGTTCAGCACAGGTACTCAAGTGCTGGGTGGGTGTAAAGCACTGCAGGCTGGGGCTCCATGGGATCCAGACCTCACAGATTTGCAGATTTAGGGACAGGAGCTGACATAAGGTGAGGTCATGGGGTGATACTTCAGCTGGATATCCAGCTGTGCTTCCACAATAAATACATCAAATGTGGTCAAACCAGACAGGCCTTTGCCCTCCCATGGAACCCCGTGAACCACCCCTGCCTGGAATCCCCCTGTGGGGCTGGTTCTGCTGCTTGAGCTGGTGGACAAGGAGGAGGAGAGCTGGCTCAGCCTCCAGGAATGAGAAACTAAACCCTGTCAGCCAGGCAAGAGGCTACAGGTTGTGGAGCTCTGGGTGGCAAGGGCACTCACCCCCTCTTGAGGAAGAAGCTCTGGTCCTCACAGGGTGACAGAGGCTGTGCCAGAGCAGGGATGGCTCCCTGAAGCAGTGTCCTGGGCTGACCCCCCACTCTTGCTGTGGCCACACAGCCCAGGCTGGGACAGGACATGGCTGTCACAGCACCTGGCCCATCACAGGTCCTGCACGTGTTCAGAGTCATTCAATGCTTCCAGGGCAAGGATGAGGCCAGGAGGAGTTTATTGAGGAATGGTGACTGTGCTGTCACCAGCACTGCCAGAGCCAGCCCCGGGGGCAGAGGCTGCTTGAGCTTGCTCAGTCCTACAAGAATCAGTGCTGTTGAAGCTTCCTTCTCTATGTGCAGCCCTGCTGACAGGTGCCCTCCTTCTGGAGCAGCTCTGCCTCATCCCAGCCAGGTGGGTTGGGGTTGGGTTTAGGGTTAGGGTTGGGATTTGGGCTAGGGTTAGAGTTAGTTTTAGGGTTAGTTGTGCTATGCCATTGTGGGCCTGTGCACACACTCTGGGCTCCCTGACCCCATGGCAACAACACTGCAGGCCTGAGACCCCACTGCAGATTTTTCTGATCACACTGCCCCCATCAGCTGGTCTTTCCCCATGAAATTGGGATATTATTGGGAACAGGTGAAAGGAAGAGGGGGTGAGGCTGTAAGCATCCTGTGGGCTCTGCAGGTGCTGTCAGGGAACAGCTGTGCTCGAGACATCAGTCCAAAGCATCCCCTGTCTAGTACTTTTCCAATAGGGTGTCTTTGTCTGGGTCAGGCCAGACCCCACATTTCCAGATCCTGGATGCAGAATTCCTCCCGGTGTGAGAGGGTCTCATTGTCGAAGGTCTCGCAGGGCTGGCTGCCACCGTGGTGCAGGTCCCCGTCCAGCCACAGCCCAAACCTACCGCTGCCAATGTGCCAGGAGCACAGTCAGCTGCCACTGGCCTCCTTCACGGCTGGACACCTCCCACGCCACCTCCTGGGCAACCATCCCCATCTCCCATCACTGCCTGTTCCCCAAAATGGACATGAGATGGCCCAGGTCTGCCACCGTGCCTGCAGGCAGGGAGTGGGTTGTGGGAGAGGGCTGGGAACAGGCTGGGAACGGGCTGGGAATGGGCTGGGAGAGGGAAAGGAAGGGGCTGGGAACCGGCTGGGAACAGGCTGGGAGAGGGAAAGAAACAGGCTGGGAATGGGCTGGGAGGGGGCAGACTTTCCAGCAGGCAGTAGGGTTAGGGAATGAAAGGCCCAGCGCTGCTGGACAACCGGTGCCAGTGTTTTGGGCTTCAAACCAGTAGCACATGCCTGGACCCAGCCCCACAGGGCAGCCTGGGTTCCCGTGGTGGCTCTGATGGCCATGGGGGCTGGTGTCCTCTGAGTGACTGAAGTTGCCGGTGCAGTTCCTACCTGCCCCCACCGACCATCAGCAGATTCACATCCCCTTTCACGAAGAAGTTGTTCCTGCCTGTCCACCGGAACACCTGCATGGGGACAGCACACAGTGGGGACCGTGGGCTGGGGCAGTGTCCCCATCCCCTTTCCTGTCTCTGTCCTGCGAGGGACTGCTGAGTGCTGGGGGCTGCTGAGCCACGATGGCTCTGCTCGGGCACCTCCACGTTCCACCTCTCCAGAAGACCTGGCCGAGCCTGTGGTTCTGATCCATCCCTGCCAACAGCCCTGTGGGCCCTGCCAGGGGACAGCTGCCACCACCCACGCCCCATCACACACACAGCCCCCAGAAGTGCCAGACACGTGGCTGCCTTCACATTCTGCAAGCCCAGACCTGGGCTGCAACTGCCCTGCCATGTGGAGGGAGGCTGGTGACACCTAGCTGGAGGGTTCCTTCCCTGAGCCTCCCTCCCTGCACACTGCAAGGATTCACCTTCTCACCCCAGCCCTGGCCAAGCCTGGGGGGCTGCTGCCAGCAGGGTCCCCACGTCTGGCCAAGCGCAGCCCCGTCATTCCAGTTCCCCCCAGCACCGCAGAGACAACCAGGCCTGGCCTGGCATTGGGGACAGGGCCAGCCCCCAGCCCGGGGTGCCCCAGGGCTGGCAGCCCCCAGCCACACCTTCAGCTCGGGGCAGAAGGAGAAGAGGAAGGTCTCCCCCGTGCCGTAGAAGCCGCTGCTGGTGCGAATGGCGCTGGCAGAGAAGGCACCGAAGGCCTGGGGAGGCAGAAGGGGGAAACTCACGGCTCGGTGTTCAGAAGGGCTCTCAGCACAGGGACGTGTCCCTGTCCTGCCACCGGAGCGAGGAGGTGCCCAGGCCCCGTGTGATGCTGGGCTGGGGAGGGCACGGCCCTACCTGAGCCTCCGTGTCCCTGATGAGCAGCAGGGCCGGGGAGTCCGGCCGGGCTCCGCTCCGGTACAGCGTCCGCAGGCTGAATCCATCCCGCCTGGTGGAGTAGAGCAGGTGCCAGGGCTGCTGTGTCAGCCGTGGGGGCAACTGGGAGCCCAGCTGGAGCACAATGGCCTCAGTCGGTGCTGACCAGCTGAGCATCCTCCCATGCCCCAGCACAAACGTGAGAGATCTCATCGAGAGGCCCCACACATCATCCCTCCAAGCAGCCACCCAAGACACCCACCTGAGCATCCTTCTAGAAGGTGGTCCCAAGCATCCCTCCCCTTCAAAACGTTCCCAAAGGGGTCTCCTCAAGCCCCCTCCCAGCAGTGTCCTGGGATACTTCCCTCAAGCATCCTCACCCTGCAAACCCTTCTGAGATGGCTCCCTAAGCCATCCTTCCCCAAGAAGTGACTGAGGTGACTGTCCCAGGCCCAGGGGAATGTCACCCATCTGGCCTCTCAGTGGACCATTTCTGGTAGGACAGTGGTCAGGGGGCAGATGAGCTGGAGGGTGGGGTGCCTGTACCTCACCTCACAGATCTCCGTGTCCCGCAGGATGCTGCTGGCTGTGCTCAGCACCAGCCTGCAGGGCTCCTCCTCAGCTGCTGCTGGGGCTCCCTCCCAGCCCCGCTGCCCCTCTCCAGCCGGGTCCTCGCATTCCACGGGCAGCTCCTCGTCCTGGTCGGGCTGGGGCAGCGGGAGGTGAGCACCCCTGTGAGCCTGAGGAGCAGCAGCCTGAACCCGCCCAGCGCCGGGTGAATCCCGTCCTATGCCCAGGGGCTGGGAGGAGGGGCCCGATGTTCTCAGGGATGGGCACCAGGCTAAGCCTACAGCCCTCGTCCCTGCTGCCCACTGCTCCAGACAGTCCAGGTGCTGTGCCATGCCATGCTGTGCCATGCTGTGCCATACCATACCGTGCCATGCTGTGCCATGCCATGCCGTGCCATACCATACCGTGCCATGCTGTGCCATGCCATGCCGTGCCATGCCGTGCCATGCCCTGGAACTCCGCCAGGCCGTGCCACGGCTGCACGGAACTTGAAGGGTTGTAGGGCCACCCGAGGGGGAGGAAGGGGTGGAGGTGGAGGTGGAGGAGGAGAGGGAGGAACAGAAGGCAGGGAAGGCTTCTGCAACTGCAGCTCCGGTAGAAAGGGTGAAGCTTTGCCTTTTCCCTTTTTGCCCACGGCCAGGCTGACCCTGCAGCGCGGAAGGGGTCGGGGATGTGCCGCGGTCCTGGTGGCCGCTGGTGACAAGTGTCTCACATGCTCAGGGTGGCTGTGGGTGCAGCTCATGCCCAGAGGGCACGAGGGGAGAGCGAGTGCAGCCCCGGGGAGCAGGAGATCTGGTCCCGGAGTGCATGGATCCTGCAGCGGGCTGCAGGGGCAGGTCCCATGTGTGCCCATCACCCCCCGCACCTCCCCAGCCCCTCACTCTCTCCAGGGCAGCCGCCCTCTGTCTGTCCAGCCCCGTGTCCAGCCTGGCCGGTGCCTCCCAGCGGTGCCCCAGAGCTCATTCCTCGCTGCCGTGTCACGATGAACCTACCAGGAGCTGGTAGCGGACTCGGAGCCCTCTCATTGCAGGTGTTTCTGGGGGGCTGGGACTGCGCCGCCGGGGAGCCCTGGACACCGCCCCGGGGTTAATGTTCAGCCGCGCCGGCCCCACCCTGGCCATCGGTGTGACAGGGTGGGTGTGGATGCCAGCAGCCTGTCCCGGCTCGTGTGGGTCCAGAATGCACCCCCTGCCTGCTGCTGGGGTGTGTGGGCAAGCATCCCCCTGAGCCAGGGGCTTGGTGGCCGGTGGCTCTCACCCCTGCTGTCACCTGGAACCAAGCAGAGAGCCCCGAGGCCAGGGGCTGCCCTTGTTTTGGCATCACCGGGGCAGGTCGTGCCGAGGCTGCTCTTTGCAACACAATTATTGCAATGGTTGTAGCAACTGCCAACACCTCTGTGGTGAGGTGAACCTGGCTGGACACCAGGCACCCACCAAAGCCTCTCTCATTGCCCTCCACAGCTGGGCAGGGCAGAGAAAATACAGCAAAAGGCTCATGAGTTAAGGGCCGGGTGAAATCCATCATCAAATAGCTTCAGGGCAAAACAGACTTGAATTAGAGATATTAATTGAATTTATTACTAAAAAAAAAATCCAAGCAGGATAATAAGAAGCAAAAGAAGACTTTAAAAACACCTTCCCCACATCTCCCTCCTTCCCAACTCTGCCTCTTCCCCTCCAGCAGTGCAAGGCAATGTGGAATAGGGGTTATGATCAGTTCATCACCTGCTCTTTCTGCTTTTGCTCAGGGGGAGGAGTTGGAGTCCTTCCCCTGCTCTTGTGTGAGCTCCTCCAGGGGCTGCAGGGGCTTGTCCACGCAATCCCAGGGGAATCTCAGCTCAGGTTCCTGAATCTGCTGCAGCCCCTTCTCCAGCCCTGCCCTGGGTGTGTGCAGGACTGCTCATCACATATTCTCACTCTGCTCTTCTCTGAGTGCAATTACACAGTAACTTTTCTCTTTTCTTCTACTTAAATCCTTGATCCCTGAGGCGTCACCACCATCTGTGCAGTGGGTCCATCCTGGAGCCATCTGGAGTTGGCTCTGCCAGACACAGGGGAAGTTTCTGGCAGCCTCTCACAGAAGCCACTATTCCAGCCACCCCACTACCAAAACCTGGAAGTGCAAACCCTGTATAGGAGGCTCTGGTGGCACATGACCCTCACTCTGGGGGAGCCAGCTTGGGACTGGCAGCTGAGGGAGAGAATCGCTGGCTCAGGTGCCTCTGCAGAAGCTCCAGCAGACCAGGGTGCAGTGCCCTGGTGCAGCCCCTTCTCACTGATGTCAACCCCAAACCACTCAGCCTGGCTGTGAGCCTGTGGGTCCAAGTGCAGCAATGCTCCATTTATGCCAATCCAGGACTGTGTGCCTTGCATGGCAGCACCATGGCCTTGACACCCAGCCCAGGCCCTGGGCCCACTGCAGGCATTTTTAGGTTGTTCCTTATCCCCCCAGCAGGCCCACTGCAGCCCTGGTGGGTGTCTCCTCTGTTGTGCCCACTGGTCTTTAACAGCAGTGGGAGTTTGGGGGTTTCTGGTGCCTGGCATTTGGTCACTGGCAACATTTGGTGGGGACCAGGCAGTTCTGGTAGCCCCAAAATTCTCTGGGACTCTGGGCAGGAGCCAGGACAGGGCTCCCAATCCCTGCCTGAGCTGCCTGACATGGCAATCCCTGTCCCTGCCCCTACCCCTGCCAGTGCTCCTGACCCCACCCTTCCATACTTTTGACCCTGATTCTGTCCCTGTCCTTGTCCCTGTGCCTGCCCCTGCCCTGTCCCTTTATCCCTTCATTCTCCCTGCCCCTACCTCTGCCCTTTCCTCTTCCCTACCCTCCACCATGCTCCTGGCCTTGCTCATCTCTTCCCTTGCTCCCCTGCCCCAGTGCTGACCCTACGACCTTCCTCAGGACTGCTTATCCCGAATTTGGGACTTGCTCCTTCAGGATACGCAGACAGAGTCAGCCCAGGGCCCTGGGAGTGGGCACAACCCCAGGGACAAATCCAGCTGCTGCACAGGACAGGGACAGTGTCTGCAGCCCTCAGCTCAGTCCAGCCACCTCCCATCACCATCTCCCTCCTCATGGCTAATTATTGCTGGCTTTGTGGAAAGAGGGGCTGTGAAATGAACACCCCCCACAATCACCCTCTCAATTTCTCTTACACCACTGCCAGGTTACCTGTACGGTCCTGGCATTCCCTAAAGCCAGCCCTGTTTCAGCCTGCCCCAAAGACCCCTTTCCTTTCCATTTTTGTCACTAGTTTCCCTCTCCCAAACCCCTGTTTGCTTTCAGATCCCCTCCCACCCTCTCCATGAGTGCCTCCCACCCCTCTCTCACCCACAGAGCACACGAGGTGTTCAAAACTCGCACAGTTTATTTTGTTCCTGGCCGGCCGGAGGCTCCACGGGGCCTGCCCCAGGCCGGCAGCCCCAGAGCGCTGACAGCACTGCAGTAAGGCAAACGTTTCAATTGTCCAGAAAGAAAAATCTGTTCACACACCTGCCTGGGCACATCCATCTCTTAGCTGCTCAGTACCAGGTACAGTTTGGTTTCCATGTCACATTCCCAAGCCCTCAGATGTCCCATGGGAGCAGAAGTGACACTGGAGGTGCCTGTCACTCAGTGCCACCACACAGGCAGCAGGGCTGGTGGCTTCACCTCAGAGTGTCACATTCGGGGGGCAAGCAGGTCTGAGCACACAGAGGAGCAGGGGGGACGAGGGGAGCCGATTCAAGGGAGCCCCTGTGCACAGCCATGAGCCCAGCACTGACTAGCACAGGGGTGACACAGACAAGTGCACATCCAGTAGTGTTAAGTAGCTGTGGAACAACTCCGTAACAGCAGTGGCTGAGACTCCTCCTGGATTTGGTCTGGGGCCTTACAGGGAGATTGTGACACCTCCTGGTCCCAGCTACTGTCCCAAGTGGTCACAGCAGCACAGTGTGAGCCCAGCACTGCCAGGCTTTGACATTCAACAGCAACACAACAGTGGGAGCTCATCTTCTCAGTAGTACTCCTTCTGAGACCTGCAATGCCTCTATGCAGCTCCTGGCATGGCTGTTGCTCCAATGGGATAGAGCAGTTACCTGGTACCCACCCTGCCCTCAATCCCATCCCAGTTCAGGTTCCTACTTGTGTCTGTGTGCTGAGGTTACCACATGTGGCAGCAGCTCCAGCTGTCCTCCGAAGTCATCATCCTTGGTCACCCAACCCTTTTGCAGCATCCACTGTGACTGAGCACATGGGATTCTTCCAGATCCCTCAACAGCAGAACCACCATGAAATGGAATCTGCAGCCAGGGCTGGAGCACCAGAGACTGCCTCGTGCCAAGCAGGGGCGTTACTGGTCAAAGCAGTGAAGGGGAACATCCCTGGAGAAGCAAACATCTCCAAGAAACAGTGGTGGAAAACACTTCATGGTCTGAGCTCCAGCCCTGGGTTTAGTTCAGTCACTCTCATTCCTGCTGGACTGCCCAGAGCTGATGGCTGAGGTCGCAGTGAAAAGCACAGCTGAGGGGGGAGGCACTGCAGCTCTGACAGTCTGTGCTGAGCCCACAGCTCAGAGGGGTATTCCCAGAACCTCAGCCCTTTCTTTCAGTAGATACCATTCCCAAAGTCAGACCTCATTCAGGGAACCTTCCCCACCCACCCCATGTACCCCAAGCTTTGCATGTCCCTCAGAGTGGCCCATGTCCCAGGAAGTGGTGGTTCAGTCCTTATTTCAAAACCAGCATGGCCTCTGTCCCGTCCTGCCTTGTCAAGTGGAGTCCGTGAGTGAGGTAGTATTCCCGCCGGAGGAAGGCATAGAAATAATCTGAGATGAGTAGGATCTGTGGAGTGAGATGTTCAGACACATCAGTGGGGCTTCAGAGCAAGGAATAAAGAGGGACACGTGTTGGTGACAGACTATTGGGGGTTAAGCAGCTCCTGGGCTGTTCAGCACATGCTGCTGGACCTTGGGAACACCTTGTCCATCCCCCTGCCATGTTAAGCCAAGGGAGACTCACATACAGTAGCTCCATAAACTGGCCAGAATGTATGACAATGGCAGGTCCAGCTGTGCCAGAGCTGCACTGACATCTCAGCTGCACCCACAGAACTCCTTCTATCCAAGTGCTGTCCCAGAATCACAGGGTCATTTTAGCTGGAAAAGACCTCTGAGATCACCAAGTCCAACCCTTGACTGATGCCCCATGTCACCCAGCCCAGAGCACTGAGTGCCGCATCCAGGCATTCCTTGGACACCTCCAGGGGTGGGACTCCACCACCTCCCTGGGCAGCCCCTTCCAATGCCTGACCATGTTTTCTGTAAGAAATTCCTCCTAATGTCCAACCCGAACCTCCCCTGGCACAGGCTTGAGGCTGTTTCCTCTCATCCTGTTCCCTGGGAGCAGAGTGCCCCAGCTGCACTCTCCTATCAGGGAGTTGCAGAGTGAGAAGGTCCCCACTGAGTCTCCTTTTCTCTAGGCTGAGCCACCCCAGCTCCATCAGCTGCTCTTGGGGCTCAGTTCCCTTCTCTGGACATGTTCCAGCTCTGTAATGTCCTTCCTGAATGGAGGCACCCAGAAACAGACACAACCCTTGAGGTGCCTCAGCAGTGCCCAGCACAGGGGCACAGTCACTGCCCTGGTCCTGCAGCCACAGCACAGCTGGTACAGGCCAGGTGTCATTGGCCTCTTGCCCACTGGGCACACCTGGCTCTTGTTCAGCTGCTGTTGATCAGCACCCCCAGGGCCCTTCCCACGGGGCACTTTCCAGCCACTCTGCCCCAAGCCAGGACACCTTTGGTTGTACTGAGGCACATGGTGGGACTGTCACCACACCTGGAGGCCTGGAGATCACAGGA